AAGCAATCATTTCAAAGATTTTATGTCAGTTTGTATATTGTAAAATGCTAATTTAGGAATAGGTTTTTTTTCCTATAGCTGTTCTTATTGGTCTTCTCATTGTAATGTTAGCATTTCTTGCGTCTTATTTAAGTGATAATATTCTTGTAATTGTTTGTCAACTTGTTGGATCATATATTCCACCAATTTTAGGTGTTTATTTGCTTGGATTTTTTGCACCACGTGTAAACAGTCGAGTGAGCATATTCAGTGCAAATATGGCTTTTCAAATTGTTGATGGGCTTTTTTTTCATAGAATGTACTTGTTGCATTTTTATTGTGTTTGATATTTCAAACATGGATTCTCATTGGAGCTAATCTCACAGCAAAATAACATATAGGAAGAAACGGACGATTGCCAACATCTATTGAAGGATGTTTGTCAGCAGCTAATATCACTCAACCCATCACTACGAGTCAGAGGTATTATTTTTTCTATATATCAATATGATTTAGTGTATGTATTAGTTCAAATAATCCATTATTACTACTTTATTCAATATCTGTAATGTGGTATGCTTTCAATGGTGTTTTTCTAACTGTTATTCTCAGTTTACTTGGAACATTTATTTTTGGTAGAATTGATTTTATAAAACAGAATCAATGTTCATACGAATATTTAGGTTCAAATAATCCAAAAATGGTAGATAAATCATTACTGGTACTGTGGAAAAATGTTTTTTGTCCGTGGTGTTGGACAAACAAAGTATATATAATTTTATTAAACTAGTTTTCAATTCATTAGACTTCTTTTCTTATCTAGAAATCTACAGATGAGGTGCGTGAATTAGAAATGCAAACAACCGAACAAGAACGAATGCTTTAAATATTCCATCACTGTTATTTTAATCGATAAATAAAGATCTATTCTTCATGTGTAGATTCATCCTCCAAAGAGATACAACTTTGTTGTATAGAAAGTGGGTGTGCTTAACTGTATGTGGGATGAGGAGTGGGTGTACTTTCTGTTTACCGGAGCCCACATCTAAACTCCACAAACCATACCCGCACCCCACACCCCACATTCAGAGCCGCCAAAACTTGAACTTTAAACTTACACTCACTATTTTCTTCGAAAACATACGTGAGCTCCACAAAATATTTTTTGGTAAAATATAGTTTGTTTGACGTAACGTTTTGAGCTGATTCTGAATATCATACTTATTTACTATGAGATCAATTTGTTGGAAATAAAATTTGAAAATACGACTCCATTTTTAGATCTTTTTCCCATGTTTTCCTATGGTTATCAAAAAAGTGGATTTTCCTAAAAACGCTAAAACATCCGATTACAAGCATATGTAACTTTTTTCTCTATCGCTTGATGGTTCGAAAACTGTGTGAGAACCAGTTTTAGCTCTTATTCTAAAAAAGGAGATAGATTTGCAAGCTGGATGAATTATTCTAGTCAACAATGAGTCTTGAGAAACTAGCCAAATTAAACTACAACGATCAAATTTCGTCAACATCATCTAACTACTACAGTTTTTCATGCTGAATTCAAATAAAGCAATTTCAGCGAAGAATAATCAATCGCGACCAGAATAATCCATAATCTTCAGGAAAAATTGCTATTTTGGGTTTTTATTGAAGAACTAAGTTTTCCTTGAATTTTCGGTCTGATCTAGGGTTTAAAAAACTAAAAACTAAATATTATTAACTAGCTTCGAAACCTCTATCGATTGATATATAGTTCGACGAATTTAAATTTGTGCTCGATTTTTGCGTTAGCGGCACCTTGTTTTTGACTGAAAAATCTGATTAAAATCGTACTATTTGAGTGAAGAGAAGTGCATATAAATATAGTATTCAATATTGAAAATATTTATGGAAAGAATAAATTCGTTTATTCTAATCTTTAACCCTCGAGTACAGACGGCAAGATTTCTAGTCCTGAGATTGCAGACTCTGAATTGCTTTTAGAAAGATGACCTGTTGAATAGTCACTGCTATGAATGCATAAATATTAGTGTTTAGGATATTTATGCGGTTAAGAACAGTTGTACTTACTTACGATTATTGATGTCCCATCAAAAACATATATGTTGACTTGAAATTTTAAGAATTTTTATTATTTAAAAAAAATCTCTTTCTCAAAGGGTTTAACATTACCATCTTCCATATACAAGTAGATGAGTCATATTAGGTTCTTATGATTGTTAACCCTCATATCACCATCTATAGAATAGCAGCTGGGCTTCCATCTGAGACCCATATGGGCCTCAGGCTAACAGAACAAGAACAATACATTAAATTGTTATCAGGTTATAGAGAAACTATGAAGGGCTTCTAGGACACTTAAGTTGATGAAGAACAAACAGAAAAACAATTGATTTGAATTGCATTTATCGAGTCGTTTTCATTGCCTTATTATTTGTTGATTTCGAAATATTTCAAAAACTTTATCGTGAAGTCATCAATTACTTGCATTTGAACCGCTGCGTGTCACCAACAACTAAATGGATCTGATTGATCGATATTATAGGCATACTCTACTAACCTTTGCTAAGATATTTCTAAGTGGCTAGGATTCTGTCTAATGTTATATGTCGGTAACATTCGAATGAAATTGGCTGGAGTCCACACGGATCCTAGGTGATGAAGAAGCGTTTATATGTACTTTGAGATGCTATATCATAGCAACAGCGGCTGACTTGGATCAACTGATGTAATCAACATATTCTACTAACTTTTCCTAAAGCATATCTAAAAAGACGAAGTCTGATCTAATCTTATGTGGACACAACATAAAGATGAAAGTGTTTGGGATCCACACAAACCCCAGATGGTGATATCAGGGTTAAAAATCAAATTCAAATCCAAATTCACTACACGGAAATATGCAGAACATCATGATCTTTCGTGTCGTATATATCCGAAAGGATTTCTTGTGGTGACAGATTTCCTACCTTATGGTAAGGGTCCCTTGAATTTGCTAGTTTTAAAATGTTCATTCGTTTCGTGTAATAAAGAGATAATTTCACAGTTTTAATAATAGTCCTATTTTCGCATATGCTTAGTTTTCATATGGACTATTTCTTACTACTCTTTATTGTACTAAGATAGATCATTTGTGCATTGAAAAAAATGACTTGTCCACTTTATTGGTGCTGTTGTCCACAGTGACGGGTGTGGGTGTGGGTGAGGCGGGTGTGGATGTGGGTGTTGTCTTTTTCCATCCACACCCACACCCAACTTACTTTGAATTTATCTTTATTAAATGCAACAACAGGTACTTTTAATGTTGTGTAATCAATATGAATAAATGCAACAAGACGAAATTTTTCAGTTGGTTCAAGAAAATCTGCATTATCAATCCCATAAGATGTCGAGCAGTTTTTCTGATAACCATTGTAGGAGTTTTTCCCAGTAAATGCCCATGATTTTGTATAAGCATTTTTCGGTAAATTGTGTATATTCATCAGCATGTCCATAATATCCTATAAAATAAAAGCAAAGAAACAAATGGGATTAACAATTAAAATTTTCATCTTTTGAGGTTTTCTTTATTCAATTTCTCTCTTTTTTTATGTAAGTTACTCAGGGAAATATCAATTTTGTCGAATACAAAAAATGTCAATCGCAAATTTGTCGAAAAAAAAATTGTCGATTCGACAAAGTTGGAATCCAAATTTGTCGAATTCCACAAATTTTACTAAAAAAGGTTGATTGTCATATTGTCAACCTTCCTTTCGATGAATTTCAAATTCAATTATAATCACCTAAAATTCGACTTGAAATCAAGTTGAAATCATGTTGAAATCAACTTGAAATCAACTCAATTCCGACTTGATTTCAAGTCCGATTTTAAGTGATCATAATTCAATTTGAAATTCATCGAAAGGAAGCTTGACAATACAATAATCGACATTTTATCGACAAATTTGCGATCGACATTTTTTTGTATTCGACAAAATTGTAGGCACTCAACAGATCTTGAGCTCTGCGCTGGCCAATCACATGAAAAAAGTTTGACTTGGAAATCTTTCTCTTCTTTTAACTCAACCTTTTTAAACTGTATATAAAAAAAAATTTAATCTTACCAAGAACTTTATGGACCAAAATAACTAAAAAAAAATGTTTCAGTTAGCAAACAGTCATAATAAGTAACCGTTCGTCTCGACCTGGGGATTGCTTTGTTTTTTTTTCTTTGTTCTTATTAGTAATTTGATAAGAATTAATTGAAAAAAGGAACGATAGATGGCACTGTTTATCGTGAAAGAAAATTCTCCAAATTGTGTTTTTATTATAGAAAGATATATTGAAGATTTCTATCGTTATCGTTCTGAAAGAAATTTGGTTCAAATTTATTTTAACATTATGTTTATCAAAATGATGCATATATATTGACTATGATTTGAAAATATCTTTTCTTAGCAAAGAAACCTTAAGGATTCTTTTGGAGATTATAAATAAGCTAAAAGTCAAGTCAAATAGTAAATTCTTTGTAAAAAAGAAAGAATCTTCAAAAATTTTGTATTTAATTTTTTTCAGTTATTATTATTATTATTATTCAAATAATGATCATAAAATTCTTGTTCAGCTCTATATATTTTAAGTTATTTTATTGGATATTTCTAATATTGACTAAATATTCGTATGCTATAATATTCACTTAGATTTGATCTATAATAATTGTTATTATGTGTAGTAGGTGGTCGATAAGAATTTTGATTATAAATTGTTGGTGGAGATGAATAAAAATAATTTCATGTTTGTTGAAAACATGGTATTCGTTTAAATTCTTTTAAATGGAGAATCGATAACTTGAAATTCATTATTATTTAGATATTTTTTATTTGATAATGAACAATGATGATGATGTTTTGATGTATATGAAAATCGTGAGATGATTTCCTTGTTATCATTGATTAATTACAATGATTTAGTCTAATCATTTTCAGTTTTAAGTTTCTCATATGATAGTTTTATTTATGTATTAGTTTGATCGAAATATTCTGCATTATTCATATCTCTTAAAGGTAATGGGTGAGTCATAAGTCTTGGTATTTGATAGAAAAATTTATTTTTCTCCCTTATTACAAATCCAAAAATGTAAAAACTTGGGCATATAATCTATGGCAACATGATGAATATTATCCGAAATTTTCATAACTCTAGTCCTAGTTACAAGGAAAATATATGCCGTCGAACTATAGGGAAGATTTTTTTCGGAGGCCGTAATCAAATTTTTATTCATAAGAAACATCTGGAATAATTATTTTTTATGAAAAATACAATAGAAAATAATCGAAAAATTTATGTTTTTATATGTTGTTATAATCACTTTTGTTGATTGAATAACCTTTTTTTTTGATCAAACATTGTAATCTTTTTGGTATTGAATTTATCCATCTTGAACACATTTGCGAAGTAATGGTGTTCCAGATTGTTATAATTCTTTGTTTCAGCATTATTACATTATCGAATCATCTTCTTCTAATTTCTCTTTGATGTAACCCCAAACATTTTCAATTGGCCATATATCAGTCATTTTAGCAGCTTGTTCTTCAGGTTCAACACGTTCATTAAATATTTCGTTTATTTTATTTAATACATATTGAGAGCGATGTTTTGAATCAGAATCATCTTGCCATATAACATCAACATCATCATATAATGTATCAATATATGGTTTTAATTGTTGTTCAGTTAATTTAATATATAAAAATCTATCCATAGTAATTCGTTCCTTTTTCACCTTTTTACATTCCGAAAATAATTATTCCAGATGTTTCTTTATGAATAAAAATTTGATTACGGCCTGCGAAAAAAATCTTCCCTATAGTTCGACGGCATATATTTTCTTTCTAATTAGGACTAGAG